GGTGGAGAGAATGTGTCCTGGGGGGTGTTGGGGGGGCTTGCCCCCCATCAACCCTCCCCTCGGGCAGTGCCCGAAGGGCACGCCTAGTCACGGCACTTTATATTGATATTAGGGTGGTTTATTGGTCAATACGTTTTTGGGGGTTGGAACGTGTGAATTCCCGTAGAGTTTTACAGAAATGTGGGTTGGGTTCCCGTAGAGTTTTTGATTTATTTCGCGTGTCCATAAACTTTCAAAGATGGCGTTTACATCCGTAGAGTTTCATTGGCCGATTTTAAGCACTTTTTGTGCTAGTTTTACGCATTTTTGATTGTTATTTTTCTTATTTAAGCTTTTTTTTTTTTGTACCCCATAATTTCCCTGATATACTTCATGCCTTCCCCTGCTAACGGGACTATCAAATCAAGATCGTCGATGGAGAAATGGTACTCGATCTCCTGAACGATTCATTCACAGAAGAAACAACGCCGACAATCGATGAAATCATAGGATTTCATGCAGAAAAGCTCTGTAACAATTACCCATTTTTTAATGTATCGATTGAAACCATAATATTTGGACAATATGCAGTAGTTGCGGAGTTGGGTAATAAAACCTATGAAATGATAGAACTATACAAACCTAGACCGTTTTCCTGTGGTAATAATTACACACTCCTCAAAAAACGCTTCGTTTGTTTGCCCGCAGCCGATAGAATACTAACAAAGACGGAACGTATTTATCGCACAGATGTTGAAAGAGTAAATAAATGTCGGTAATATAATGGAATTACTCAAATGCAATGTACGCGCGCATCAAAACAAGGACGTCGTGTCAAAAAGAACTAAAATTCATTGTGTATGACCGCAATAGGAGTTGGGTAGGATGGGTGACCCCCCCCTCCCCCTCAATATAGCATCATTTAACCACCAGTGCCTCCGAAATAGTTTCTCTTGAAACAAAGGCAAGTAAGCTAACACCTTGCATGTAGTAGGGGGTGAGATTGGACAGTGTCCTTATTAGATGTTAATTAGTAAAAAGATTTGCAGGTGCTTGCCTTACCAAAATGTTTTTCTTAGAGCGGCGACAGTCGAAATTTGTACTTGGTATTTGAATCACAATAATTACTAGTTTTATGCAGAACCTTGATCAGACCACCGCTTGGGAAACACGAAACGTGCTTTAGTACTTTAAAGGTCCCGGGGATTATCAGTTCAATGCGTTAATTTTTTGAATCTCTTGATTGAGTAAAATTGGCAAGATTTGTTGGTAATTTTCTATATTACGTCCGCATATCCGATATCGACGATTTTGGTATCGTTGGATTCCTCTCACTCTATACAATGCAAATATGTAGGTTTTATTGGGCGGAAACCCCCCCGTTAGCGACAAACTTGGCCCCGATAGCAGGGGCGACGATGTCGGAGCGGCAGACAATATATAAAATTACCCTAAAAATATAACCTAATCATGGTTATTCACATGACTTTCCATTGCGGGGGCTGCGCCACCTGCGACCCCAACTGGGGGCTACCGCCCCCCAACCCCCGCCGAGGAAACAAAACCACCATGTATTCACGGCAGGATAGAGCGCACACGAACTAGATGCGGAGCCGATAACCTACAATAACCTAGGATTTTTAAGGTACTAACCTGATTGATTAATGCCGCTAATTAGTAGGGAGGGTGCTCCTTTGCCTCAGAATGTTAAGGAGGCAGGGTGCGTCCGGCAGGAGGTCCTAGGCCGGAGGATACAGCTTTCTCCCGACGGAGGAGGCCGTGGCGGAAGCATATCTCTAGCATTTTTCCTGGCTAGTTGCAATTTCAAACAGAAAATCCGTCTCCGAATACGAGCACCCTCCACACTCGGCCATCGCGGCGGCTATGATTGCCTTCAGAACGCGACGGTTATTTCGGTTAGGAATACGAATGTCGTTATTCCAGAGCACGGGAAACTCGACCTTGAGGCCATCGGTGTAACATCGAAAAAGGCGCAACACCCGCCTACGAGGGCGGGCCACCCTGTTCATCCTGATTATACTACAATCGTCTCTATATACAATGCTGACTATGCCAAGGTTAATATGCTGATTCAGCGGGAATTTTACGAGGTAATTGTAATATTACGCCCGCCGCTCCGACATCGACGATGATTGTGTAACGCTCTAGCCTGCCGGGAATACGTGGAGGTTTTGTTTCCTCGGCGGGGGTTGGGGGGCGGCAGCCCCCCTCCCCCCAGGGGGGTCGCAGGGGGTGCAGCCCCCTGCAATGGAAAGTTATGTGAATAACCATGGTTATTTTCACTGCGTTATATTATTAATGCTATTTAACCCCGCATTTTCCTTGGAACCTTCCATGCCCTCCCCTGCTATCGGAGCCAAGTTTGTCGCTAACGGGGGGTTTCCGCGCAATAAAAACTATATATTTGCAATGTGGAGAGTGAGAGGAATCCAACGATACCAAAATCGTCGATATCGGTTATACGGACGTAATATAGAAAATTACCGATTTGTTTTATGCC